AGACAGACTTAATTATGCAAACCTCCAGGAACTGAACAAGCGGAATGTGGACCTAAAAAAACTAGAAAGACAACCCATGCACCTGTATCACAAGAGCTGCTGCTCTTCCCCTTAAGAACAAAGTTACCCGTTAAACTTCCACATACCTTCTCCTGCCTATAAAAATACCCATAACACTAGAAACGGGGTCCCTGCGCGGGCCTGCGGAGTCAGGTGTTTGCTTGGACCCCAGCCAGCTGGAAAAATAAAATCTCTTGCATTTTGCATCAAGAACCGACTCTTGTGGTTGATTGGGGGTCGTGTATCCTCTGGACAGAAAGCACGCCGAGCCAGGCGGCCGGCAGCCTTTCATTCTGGGGGCTCATCCGGGATATCACGGCTACCCATCATCTACAACGTCGGCCTTGGAGGTAAGCCTAAAAACCCCCTGTTTGTTTGTCGACTTTCTTGTCTGTTTCGGTGTGGTACCTAATAGTCTGTTTCAGGTTGTGCAGCCGTTCGGCCCATTGTAAAATAGCCGAACTGTGGTTGGCAGAAGTGCCCGGAGAACCACAGGCTGCAGCCCTGGGGGACACCCTAAGGGCGGAAGAAGATCAGAACCTTTCATTTGGGGGCTTGTCCAGGATATCGCGGCTACCCATCATCTACAATGTCAGCCTTGAAGGTAAGACATAAAAAAACAAAAAACAAAAAACAAAACCCTGTTTGTTTGTTGACTTTCTTATTTGTTTCAGTGTGGTACCCAATTGTCCGTTTCAGGTTCCACAGCCGTTTGGCCTATTGCAAAATAGCCGAACTGTGGTCGGTAGACTTGCCAGAGAACCACAGACTACAGCCCTGGGGGACGCCCTAAGGGCGGAGGAGGATCAGGGATGCCTGATCATCTCCTATGGTAAGGGTGCAGATTGGGTACATATTTTGGCCTGGAGTCCCCATGGGCTGTGCCCGTCTGAATCTGTCCTAAGATTGTGGAAAACAAAAATTGGTAAGTTACTTTCTGTTTGTCTTGTCCTGTTCTTTGTTCTGTTGTCTGTACTCTTAACCTATCCATTGATGATGGGGCAGACTGTGGTGACTCCTTTAAATTTGACTCTTGAACACTGGACTGAAGTGAAGGGAAGAAGTTGCAACCTGTCTGTAGAAATTAAAAAGGGACTCTGGCAGACATTTTGTGTCTCTGAGTGGCCCACCTTTGGTGTCGGGTGGCCACCCGAAGGCACGTTTGACCTTAACGCTATCCTTTCCGTTAAAGACATTTTATTTCAGAAGGGACCAGGAAGTCATCCGGACCAGCAACCGTACATCATCATTTGGCAAGATCTAATCCAAAATCCACCTTCGTGGGTTCGACCATGGTTGCTCAGGCCCCGTCCAAACCCCCCTCAGGTCCTGGTGGCCCAGTCCCCCAACCCTCCAGAGGGTATAGACCTCTCCAAACGTCCCACGTGAATCTATCCAGAGACCCAAGACCTTCTTCTCCTAGACACCTCTCCCCCATATCCCCCGTCCCTTCCCCTAGGTGAAGAAAGGCGCAGAGACCCCAGAATGCCACCTAACATTGGACCTGGTCCTTCCGCCCCCTCTGAGGGTGCCCTCCTAGGGCCTGCTCAGGGCACTAGGAGTCAACGTTGCGCACTCCCGTCTCCTGATACCACTGTGGTACTGCCCTTACGGGCCTATGGGCCCCCACCTCCGCCTACCGCCTCTCCAATATTGGCCCTTTTCTTCCTCTGACCTTTACAACTGGAAAACTAACCACCCCCCTTTCTTTGAGGACTCCCAGCGTCTAACCAGCCTGGTAGAGTCCCTAATATTCTCTCATCAGCCAACATGGGATGATTGCTAGCAACTCCTGCAGACTCTCTTCACCACTGAAGAGAGAGAGAGGATCTTACTCGAAGCAAGAAAAAATATCCCCGGGACTGACGGATGTCCCACTCAGCTTCCTAACCTTATCAAGGCTGCTTTTCCTCTCTCTCAACCCAACTGGGACTACAATACGGCAGAAGGTAGGGAGCGACTGACAATCTATCGCCAGGCTCTAGTGGCTGGCCTCCGTGGGGCTGCCAGGCGCCCCACTAATTTGGCTAAGGTAAGAGAGGTTATGCAGGGGGCTACAGAACCCCCATCAATGTTTCTTGAGCATCTCATGGAGGCATTCAGGCGGTTTACCCCTTTTGATCCTGCTTCTGAGGGACAGAGAGCCTCCGTAGCTATGGCCTTCATTAGACAATCAGCATCAGATATTAAAAAAAAAACTCCAGAGACTCGATAGGGAGCCAAGGCACAACCCAACCAAAGGACAAAAGCCTGGTCATATTCCGCTAGAAAAAGACCAATGTGCCTATTGTAAAGATAAAGGACACTGGGCAAAAGACTGCCCTAAAAGGGCAAGAAAACAAAAAGCCCAACCGAGCCTATCAGCTGAGGTGCTTGCCCTGCAAGAAGACTCAGACTGGGGGGACGGGGCTCAGAGCCCCTCCCCGAGCCTAGGGTAACTCTAAAAGTGGAGGGGAAGCCAATTAATTTTTTAGTCGACACTGGGGCCCAACACTCAGTGTTACTAGCACCATCGGGGCCACTTTCCAAGAAAAAATCTTGGGTCATAGGGGCAACCAGGCATCAGCAGTATCCATGGACCACCAATAGAACAGTAGGCCTCGGAAGAGGCGTAGTGACCCACTCCTTTTTGGTCATTCCTGAATGTCCGGCGCCCCTCCTTGGGAGAGACTTACTTACCAAAATGGGGGCACAGATTAATTTTACCCCACGGGGTCCAAAGATTACTCCAGATGTGCAGACATTAGTCCTAGCTATACGCTTACAAGATGAACACCGGCTTTTCAAAAGTCAAGATAGTAACACTGGCCCCCTTCATGCTTGGCTGCAAAAATATCCTAAAGTCTGGGCCGAGACAGCTGGAATGGGGTTAGCCACCAACAGGCCCCCAATACTGATAGAACTAAAAGCTACAGCTACCCTATGGCACTACGCCAATACCCTATGACCAAAAAAGTCCGAGAAGGTATCAGGCCTCACATACAACGCCTCCTACACCTGGGTATTCTAAAAAAATGCCAGTCACCTTGGAATACCCCCTTGCTGCCCGTATAAAAACCCGGCTCAAATGACTATCGTCCTGTGCAAGACTTGTGGGAGGTCAATAAGCAGGTACAGGACATCCATCCCTCGGTACCTAACCCATATAACCTGCTAAGTTCTCTACCTCCAGAACGGGACTGGTATACTGTCTTAGACTTAAAGGACGCTTTCTTCTGCCTGTGACTGCACCCCTCCAGCCAGAATATATTTGCCTTTAAATGGAGGGACCCGGACACTGGGGTCACGGGATTAAGATGGACCCCCCTCGGGAACCAGCAGTTAGCGTAATGGCTATGTCGCTGGACTCCCACGTAGTCGACCGCGGTTCGTGTCCCGGACCCGGTGGCTTAAAACTCACGCCGGGCATGTGTGCATGCGTGCACACACGCCCGGGAGTGATTTCTCGCTTTCTGTCTCTATGTCTCTCTCTGTCTGGCGAGCGCACGTGCCCTATCGTGAAAATCTCTCCAAAAAAAAAGATGGACCCGCCTCCCTCAGGGCTTCCCACACTCGCCTACTATTTTTAATAAAGCCCTCCATCAGGACCTTGCACACTTCCGCGCCAGCCACCCTGAGGTAACCCTCCTGCAGTATGTAGACGACTTGTTGCTCACAAGAGCAACCGAAAAAACATGTCGGCAGGGCACTGGACTGCTGCTAGAAGAACTGGCCCACCTGGGGTATCACGCCTCTGCTAAAAAAGCCCAAATCTGTCAACAAGAGGTAACATACTTGGGCTATACTTTACGGGGTGGGAAGAGGTGGCTCACCGAAGCCAGGAAGCAGACTGTAACCCAGATCCCCGTTCCTCACACGCCCCGGCAAGTGCGAGAATTCTTGGGAGGATTCTGCCGCCTATGGATACTGGGGTTCGCCGCTATGGCCGCTCCTCTTTACCCGCTGACTAAAGAGGGAGCCCCCTTCGAGTGGGGCGTTGACCAACAATGGGCTTTTAATAATATAAAAAAAGCCTTACTATCAGCCCCGACTTTGACCCTGCCTAATGTGACAAAACCTTTCACTCTATATATAAATAAAAAAAAGGGGGTGGCCCGAGGGGTACTGATGCAACCTTTAGGGCCTTGAAAAAGACCGGTGGCCTATCTCTCAAAAAAACTGGATCCAGTAGCTGGGGGATGGCCGGCTTGCCTGAGATCGATAGTGACCGTGGCGACACTGGTAAAAGATTCTGACAAATTGACTATAGGACAAAAATTACTAGTCATTGCACCCCACGCTTTAGAGAGCATCATCCGGCAGCCCCCCGACCGATAGCTGTCCAATGCTCCTATGACTCATTACCAGAGTCTCTTGTTAGACAAGGACAGGGTCCAGTTTGGACCCCCAGTCACTCTCAACCCTGCCACGCTGCTGCCCGAGACCTCCGCAAAGGGGGCTGTCTTCCATACCTGCCAAGAAGTCCTGGTGGAAAAAACTGGAACCCGATGGAATCTCCAAGATCAGCCGCTACCAAATGCCCAGCTGACCCGGTTCACTGACAGAAGCAGCTACATCATAGAAGGTAAAAGGGTGGCAGGGGAGGCTGTAGTAGACGACGACCAGACCGTCTGGGTGAGTGGCTTGCCCGAGGGAACCTCAGCCCAAAAAGCTAAACTCATAGCTATGACTCAGGCCCTGCGTCTGGCAGAGGGAAAGGTCGTAAATATTTACACTGATAGCCGGTATGCCTTCGTTACCGCCCATGTCCATGGGGTTATCTATAGACAACGAGGCTTACTGACCTCAGCTGGTAAAAATATCAAACATAAAAAACAGATCCTGGAATTGCTGGAGGCTATACACCTCCCTAAAAAAATAGCTATTATCCACTGCCCCGGGCATCAAAAGGCCAAATCCCGGGTAGCAGAGGGAAACCTGCCAGCCGATCAGGTGGCTAAGTGGGCGGCCCAAGGGCTTAATATACTACCATTACATGAGGCAATTGACTCAGGTCCCTCAGATGAGACGCTTTCATATTCCGAACAAGACCTACTGGAAATAAATAAAATGGGACCTCACTCCGTGACCCCAGAGGAGGTACGTAAGACTGTCAAGGGAAAGACTATCCTCCCTCGAGAACAAGCAATTGCTTTCCTCGATCAGCTTCATAAGTTGACACACCTAGGCTCAAAACATGTAATTACCTCAGTTCGGCAGTCCTCGTTCCATGTCATAATCCTGCGCAGACTCGCCAAAACAATAATAAACCGATATAGACCCTGCCAATTGGGCAACGCCTACCCAGACAAAACACCACAAGAAAAGCGGCTTCGTGGATATCGTCCGGAAAATTACTGGAAAATAGACTTCACTGAAATAAAACCAGGCAAATATGACTACAAATATCTGCTAGTACTGATTGATACATTCTCAGGGTGAGTCAAAGCTTTCCCCACTAAAAAAGAGACTGCTCAG